GGTAGAGGGTGGTGGCCAGGCCTTAGGAGGTACCCGTAGTACTCATCCATTGGGAGGTCAGATGAATTGCGAGGACCCAGGGGGAGGGAGTCGCCTCAAGATGGCACCGTGGTACCATGACCTATGCTAATGCTCAGATCGCAGGTCGTGTGATCTGCGCCAACGCTTACCTGACTAATCCGAACGTCTTCACGCAGACACTACCCTCCCATAACTCTAATGTTAAGGATGACCCGGGCACAGATGGGATCCATGCATATGCATTCACCCCCCATCTGTGCCTCATCCCGCAGACTCTATGGGCAGCGAACCGCCCTTCCACTAAGATGCAATATCCCGCCCTCCCCCATCTGCACAATGGGCTATATTTCCAGACCGCTTTTTTTCTTTTTTTTTTTTAAATGACTTGCCCCATTAGCGCTTATGCTGTCTAATTAAGTCAAATTAATAACTACGCAAGTGAATATTACTTAATACATAGGTTCCCATGTACCTAGATCTTGAAAACGAAACAACTGAGAACGAATCTTCCAATCTTCCTCAGTAGAGATTTAAAAATTGAAAAAAAAACGGAACCCTTGTTTTCGCACCCACAGCGTATTTTTTCCCCGCTCGGTCTCTTCATTTTCACGCCCTGTGGAGATTGGAACATTCTTATCTCCCGTCCTTCGGGACATCCGCTAAAATTGGAACGATACAGAGAAAGAAGATTAGCATGACCCCTGCGCAAGGATGACACACATAAACTGGAACATTCGTATCTCCACTGGGTGTGAAAACCTTAGCTCTATTCCTCAGATAAGAGAAAAACAGAATCTTCATTTTCAGACCCAGTGGAGATAAGAATGTTCCAAACTTATTATAAAAAATAAAATAAAAGAAAAAACTTCAAAAAAGAGAGAGGGAGAGAATCTTTCAACCTTCCTCAGCAGCAGAACATAGAACAAGGACATACAGGCGAGAAAGGGGGGGGGGGGGAATAGAAAAATAAATAAAACAATTGAAAAATAAATAAAAAATAAAAAAAACAATTGAAAAGAACATAGACGTAGAGTACACCCCACTGATGAGGTGAAAACCTGTTCGGGTGAAATCAATTGAGAGCATGGTGTCACTACCATCTTCCCCGAACAGAACACACGGGGTAATAATCATTGTATCTATTTTTAGACTGTGTGCCGAAATGCAGCCGTAATGACCGTGTGTGTTCTTTTCAGCGGAAAAAGACCATAGTAGAACATACCGCGCCCCGCTATTTTTGCTTTGTGGACCGAATCTAGGCCGTATTGAGGCGATATCTTGTGTTTGGGATCATCACAGATGGCAGCGGGAACGTTGTTGAACCTCACCTGGCGTAGGCTTCTCTGTGAACTTTCCTCAGCACTTCAAGGCACACATGGCAGGTTTTGCGGCTCAAGTGCAGATCTGAAAACACCACCCATTGATTTACGCTCTCCCAATCGACGGTACTCCTACCTTTGCTCACGCTCACCTGCATCACAAGTTCACAGATCCGCAAACCTCTGGTCAGCTTGCCAAATGTTTTGACAGCTTCGAGAGGGGATTTACAGCTTCGATCCGACGACCGCGGCCTTGGTATCAGCCTTGGCGTCACCTTCAGTCTCAGCTTCAGTGGAGAGGAGAGTCACAAACTGTGGTGTCAACTTCAGTGGAGACGAGAGAAACAAACTTCTTTGCCAACTTCAGGATAGTGTCAGCCTCTTTGCCAGCTTATGGATTGAGGAGTTAGTCGTGTAAAGCTAAGAGGTTCAGGGGTTTCCAGGGGTTTCCTTTGTTTTGTTTTTTTTTCAAAAGGACGGTAGCCTTAAACCACCACTACCTTTCAGGCTGGAAGCCTAAGGCCTGGACCCCCCACACTAGTGGAAACAGTTCTCAACGTCCGCCAGTGTTGTTGTTCGAGACTCCACTGGTGGCGGTGTAAGCAAGCATTTTCGTTCCTACGCCGCCCACCTCCACCTTTTCAGGACAACATCCAATCCCTGTGCCTCCTTTCCGCATGGCATGGCTGAATCTAGAGGGTAGCCTAGAGGGTAGCCCTCTAGATTCAGCCATCCCATACGGAAAGGAGGCACAGAAATTGGATGTTGTGCTGAAAACGAGGAAACACACTTGCCCGAAAGAGCAAGTTTTCCTGATCCGGTAAGCTAAACCTGCGGAGCTGCCCATATTTGCTGTGGCAGAAGAGTCCGTTTACCTTGTTGCCAATTCCCGCTGGCTACAATTAATGCTCGTGGATGCTTTCCAGGCACCAAGCTACCGCCAGGCGGTGGGGTCCACCCCCAAGTCCTAAATATCACCTATACCGCATTCTTCGGAGGCCGGCAGAGGCCGGGTGCTACCGGACCCAAAAGGATGCCGGCGGCAGCCAAAACAAAACAAAAACCAAAAAAAAAAAAAAAACACCACACTGGCCCTTTCGGCCACCAGGTTCCATCTGGATTCGAACTCAAGTCTGCAATTCAACAGTTTATCGGTGTAGCAACTGAGCTAAGGGCCTCGCCGCACTCGAAATGTGAAAAAGACAAAAATGTGGAGGGTGCATCTGGCCGTGTTCTAGCGGAAAGTTCATTCTCATTTTGCACGTTTCGGGAGTGGTGTGGCGATGCCCTAAGCCTGTTGGTTTTCCAGGGATTCAGGAAAAGCAGGAGCGCCCCTCCGATGTTCATGGAAAAAAGTAGAATTTGAAAAAAAAAGTTGACGTTCACTGTCAGCTTCAGTATCAGCTTTGGTGTCAGCTTCCGTAGAGGTGAGAGAGACGAACTCCCTGTGCAGGCTTCGGTGTGTGTGTCCGGTCCAGTGCCACCTTACGCGTTGGAGATTTTTGTGCTGTAATCTTGAACCACCAGTACACCTGGGTCTGGCGACGCCACACTGTGCGCCAAGCTTTGCCGAACCGCCAGGGGCGCACCTTTTTGCTCTTTTGGCTGCTGCCGCCAGCCATTGTGGTCCGGTAGCCCCAAGCCTCTAAAAATTTTCGGGAGTGAGCCATGAAGAAATCTTGCAAGGCTGGGGCCTTGTGCTGGCCGTTCAAGAGGTTCAGAAGTTTCCAGGGATTTGGGAAAAGCAGCACCCTACCACATTCATGACAAAGTCGACTTTCATGTTCTGTGTCAGCCACAGTCATGCTTTGTTTGAATGTATAGCGAATATGACAACACACACACACACACACACACAGACACACACACACACAAAGACACATAGTACAAGCGCGCGAGCATGCACCTGAGTGAAACGTGAGCATACCTGATATCCGCGTTGTCTCGGTGATTCCGTAGAGGACGGAAATGGCTGCTCCTCGATACTGACGGCTTCCTGTCGGGATCGCGTCCCGGTAAACCCCGCGAGCCCCATCCCGTGCTCCATCACCTCCTTCAGCTGAGCTTTATGAGGGCTAACCATTTCCGATATCAACATGCTTTGCGACACTGTGGATGGTGACCGCCAATCCGCCCCCTCGCTTATTGACGATCTCCCCTCCCCCTCCTCCTCCTGTTTCTTCCCTCGATTGCGATTCCCGCGCTCCACTTTTCCCTTGCTTGTGCGGAGGGTCTCCTTTTTCGCGGCAACAGCGGCGGCGCGCGCCGTCATACGCACCCCCTTCCGCTTCCGCTTCGGCTTGTCGCCCACGCAGCACGTGTCACCCATCGCACTGCTCTCGTCGCGCACGGGGGCAACCTCCCCCTCCACGTGCGGGCCGCCCTGCAACCCCGCGGAACACGTCTCAGCCACTGTGGCAGCTGTTCGTACCCTACCCATTCTCTGACAAGACCCTGTCAGAACAGCCCCTCCTTTGCCCGCGCTGCAGGTTATCCCCGCCACCTCGGACAGCTGCCCGCACATCTGGACCGTCATCGCAGTGGCGATCCCCCCGAGGCTTTTCTCCGACAACCCTCGCTCTCCTCCCCCCCGCCGCCGCCGCCGCCGACGCTTCCGCCAGGTGTCGCCGCCGGATGGCCATTGATCTGACGGATGCCGCCCACGATCACACGTCCAATGATTAGGCAACCGGATAGCCCGCGACGTTGAGAGATTTCTAATCGAGAACACCGATGAGGAGGGGTCTTCTCTTCCGCTGAGCGGTCGATCGGCGCGAGCGCGCGCAGCTCGACTGACCAAGCCGTCCGGCAAACCAACACCACCTCCCCTCCTATCTCTAGACAAGACCGCATCGCGCATGGATGGCCGCGGCGCCAAGGGTCCGCCTTGGGCTTGGGCGCGCATGAAGGCGACACGGGTCCCGAGCAGGACATCCCATAGCAAGCCGCCTTTCCGCACCAAGATGTCCCCGGGGAAGGAGCGATGGGCGGCAGCAACATGTGTCGCACAGACAGGCGATCGGCCCTGCAGCATCATTGTGTGCGACGAGAAGCGCCTTCCGAGCACACGAAGATTGTCGGCCTGACGGGCGTTCATCGGCAGTTGACCCGAGGGGGCTGCAGTGCACCAAAATAAGGGCCTGCCGAGCAGACTCCCTGGCCCGCACCCAGCAGAAGAACGACAAGGAGGGGGAGGAAGAGCAAACGAAGAAGGAGGAGGAGGAAAGGGAAGAGGAGGAGGAGGAGGAGGAGGAGGAAGCGGTTTCCGTGGGCAGGTAACTGAAGATGAAGAAGATCCTTTGGAAATGGAAGAAGGAGCGGACTTCGCGCATGTCTTCGCCACTGGATGGCTATGGCTATGGATCTGCCCGCATCCTCCATATCCATAGCCATAGCCATGGCTATGTCCCCATCTTCGAGCTACAGCGGCCACTTGCGGTGCGACCATCTTTTTCGTTGCTGTCAACACTGGCACTGCTCCGATCGATGAGACTGATGGGATCCTCATTTCGTCAAAAACAGCCGCGAATGATTTCCTTGCGTCATCATGGCATTAGCAACCCCTCCAATGTTCAATTCTCGTACGATTCCACAGAGCAGCCCTACTGACCGGACAACCTGAGGGCATTCGTTTTTTTCCTGTTTTTTTTTGTCTCACACGAGGACTTTCCTGGACGTTTTTTTTTTTTTTTTTTTTCGGACCGATGGACTGATCAGAACAGATACTACACTTGATCTTAGCCAAAAGGCCGAGACGCCACTCTCCATTTTCACGTCCAGTGAATAGTGGGGCGAATTCCAATGACCAGCACATCCATCTGTCTCATTTCAGGGCCTCGTTAAACTAATTTCGCCAGCAGCCAAGTGGGTGGATGGTTACAGGACTGGAAAAATTTGAGCCCTCAGAAATTGTCTCCGAATTTTGGCCAAACTTGGTTTCAAATCTAGATTTTTTCCTTGCCCCCGCCCTAATCGGCGGTGGTCAGGGAGTAGCCTGAGGGCGCCGGCGGGAGGGGCCGGCTAACGCAAAGACCGAGCATTTTTCCAGCGCCTCTCATCTACTTTCCCCGCCCCCCATCGACTAACAGCAGTATCTATGGCCAGCACTCTCCCATACGCCACACACAAGCCACACACACACACACGTGATGGCTAATGACCCTACAAATACCAAACGGGGGGAGCAAGCCAACGGTGCAAGCCAACTATCTATGTTCTGCCACACCTTTACCTGTGACTGCCCTTTTGTGGAGGGATATCATGCAGACCACTCTATTAATGGACTTTTTGTAAGGGAGTCGTTAGACACTCCTCGGGGATGCAAAATCCCCAAGGAATTGTTCGTTCCACCTATCCTGGGGGATGCAATCCGAAAAAAAAAAGTGAAAACGCTCGTAAGGAAATTCCTCGGGCAATAGGAAGGAATTCCTCAGCCATTTGGGCCTCGTTAGACCCTCCTTGGGAAGACGATTTTTAGGAATTCGGCATGGTTACACCGCATCCTAATCCACCGAATTCCTTGGATTAACGAGGCCCAAAGTGAAAACGCTCCCGAGAGATTTCCTTGGGGATCCTCAGAATCGCCAACCATTGCGTCCTTGGATTCAAAGGGTCCTCCCGAGGTCCCTTGGGCTCAAGGAGCCGCGATTGACGGAGAGGAGAGGACACACGTAGTGGGGACGTTACAACCGTCGAACCGGGAGCGTGGCGACACCCTATTGGCTGAAAGCCTCAAGCACAACTGTTTATCTTTCTCTTTTTTCTTTTTCCCCCCAAAAAAGCTCCAAGGACGAATCTCTAAGCCGACGCTCCAAGGACAAGGTGTAATGATGACGCCGAATTTCTTGAAATTTTCCAAGGACTTCGTCCTAATTCCTGAGGATTTTTCAAGGAGGGTCTAACGAGGCCCTTCTTCCTTGTGCCCAAGGGAGGCACAAGGAATCCGCGTTTCACGTAAAGGAGAGGGCACACGGGTAGATAGACGTTACAGCCGAGAATCTGGATCGTGGCAGCACCCTATTGGCTGAAGGCCTGAAGCACAACTGTTTTTTTTTCTTTTCTTTTCTTTTTTTCTGACATCGGTCTCTTTTTTTTTTTTTTTTTAAGTCCATGGTGTTGTAGAGGCCAGTCACTGAGTACACAGTGATCACCTGGAGCAGTAGGCCGTGGGTGTCCTGGAATATGAGACCACCTCCCATCCCCCATCCTCACGTCAATACTCCTAGCGCACCCCCTATCCCACTATCCTACCTCAGTGTGACCAGCACTCAGGACCATTACCCTACCAATGGGCAGGTAACTTGGACCGAACAGCAGTGATAGGCACCAGGGCTGATAGGTTGCCCAGCCCTGGTGGAAGCGGAATCGGACGAGCCTTGTCGAATCGGAACTTCGGACGCCAGGCCCAGACAATCTACTACAGGCCCCAAGAGACTCTGGGCCCTAGGTTTCAGACAGGGTAGCACCCATTGAAACAGTCTTACCGTCCTTCCCCTAGCTTACCCAAGGCCAGGCGGAACGCGGACTGGCCTGAGCGACTTATACTCCTACCCTTACCCCAGGGTCTAAGCCTTATATATAGTCACTAAACAGTTCTATTCGAATACTCCGGTGGCCCATACCTGTCCCTACTGCAGATACGAGAACCCACCAGTGACTAGACCCCCCAAGTCTGATAGTTGTGTGGTTCGTAATCTATGTGTATCCGACGACTGTATGCTTTGAGTATTTGTGTATCAAGATGTGCAGACAACACCATATGTGGAAACTTGTGTATGTAGCCCGTAGGCCATGTATAATTCGCAAGCTGTGTATATATGTAAGAAGGCTGTGTGTGCTCTGTGAATCAATGTATCAAGATGTATACTAGGCAGCATCATGTGTGTATATCGAAGAGAGAACGGGGTAAGCTGGACAAGGACCCCCCCAAGGTTCGAACCAAGCTCGAACCCGTGACCTTGTAACGTGTAATCGAATGACTCTACCATGTGAACGACTAGCGGAAATGGCACGAACGTGTGATATGCCAGACTGGGGAGATCAACAGAACACTGTGATGCCCAACCTCACGCCCAGCGCGACTTCCTGATCGGAGTGGGATGGGGGCCCGGAAGTGCGAAAAGGGGTGTGCCAAGGATTTTAGGAAAGTGGGGTTGGGTTCCTAGGTCAGAACTCAGATCTCTTGTGGCAAGTTCCAGGGGTACAGGTGCAAAGGGGATATACTCAAAGGCAACTGATGTCGTGCAGCATAAGGCAGATGGCATGCGCAATGCATCCAGGTTAAATATCGATAGATTTAAACACTCTTGCATTCGCGAAGAAAATTCCAACAAAATTGCCCCTGCCAACAGGTTTAGCGTTTAAGGCCAAGGAATCACCATCGCCGCTGATTTCGCCTTCGGGGCCGGTCGCGGGGTTCGGCCAGCTATTGGCGCCGCTCGTAACAGGCCTCGGGTTCCGCCGAGGCGGTCCGTGCGCGGAGGCTGTGCAATCGCTGCTCAGCTTCAGCTCGAGCCTGTCGGGTAGTTCCCGAAGCTCGGCGAGCCCGGTCATACCGACAACCCTCGCACGGCGGGCTAAGCCAGTAGCGAGCTATGGAATTCCACGGTACCACTGTGAGTTGGTGATATAGGAGGAGGAGATGAAAGGGAGGAAAGTTGGTAGTAATGACAACGAAGCCGGGGGATATGAAATATTCCGTGTTATAAGTTTCCGGGTAGTCGGGGCACCGGGGGTCACTCATTATAGCGCAATGAAAATCCCTCGCACATAATCGATCTTTTTCTGTTAGGCAAGGGAATTCCGGATTTCTTAAATTTCCCCGTTGTCTGAGTTGTTCACCCTCCCAATACTCACGGTATTTCGGGTCCCTCGTATTTTCGTAGTCGGACGCCCAGGAAGGAGACCGTGCAGCCATGCCTGTTTAGTAAGCCACATCCCCCACATCCTTACACACGGTTAAGGTTGTCTTACGCAGGCAAGTGCGAACGTGGCGACTCGGTTTCCTCGAGATCGCGATCGTACGTACGCGTGTATGTAAGGAACAACGGATTGGTTTCGTGTGTCGGTCGCATTCAACCGTAAATGCAATTATCCTACCAATCACTACATGCCATATAGGTGACGCAAAGATCGTTAGTTAAACTTCAGACATCCAAAGTGAGCATTCCTCATCAGGCCTGATTGCATAGCTCACAAAGGCGAACACTGGTCAGAGACAACACGCATCGTGAAACAGATCGAAAAGATCGCTAAAAGAGGTCCTACATTCATTCCATGCATACATACTGAGCAAAACAACATGGAAAATCCGAGACAATATACAAGAGAAGTTCGAAAGAGAAGGGCCGCGATAAAGAGATCGGCCACATCGGAACTCAAAATTATACAGATGGACAGAAAAATGAAAGGAATAACAAAGAGAAGTCATATCCCACACCCACACCACTGCTCTCTCTCCTTCTCTCTTTCCTGTTGCGGGCAGTCCGTCGCCGCGCATCAATACCCACGATACCGGCAGTCTGTTGCCGCGTATCCACACAGAGTTGTCACCCCGCTTGGTTCGCGTATGCAAGCCAGGTTCGCCCGTGTGCCACAGTCCGTCGCGGCCCCGCACGTCAACCCCGCATACCCAACACCAGCTCGTCGGATCGCCCAACTCTCATACTCACTCACCTTCCAACTTGCTCGTTAGCTGACCCTCACTGATCGCGCTAACCTCGAAATTCTTAGAGAGCAATCTAATCGTGCTTGCGAAATTTATAGTATGCATGCCTGCGCGAAAGGTACGGGATTAAGCCCAGATGGACAGGAAGACAAGAGAGGAACTTGAAGTGCCTACGTCTGCATGGCCAAGCCGCGACGTGGGGGTCGTAGCCACTCTCCACACATCAATCCGGTCATGCAGGCGCTTCGACCAATTAGAACAGAGCATGCGAGACGAGAAAGAAGAAGGAAAAACTTGAAGGCGGACAACCTAGGAGAATCAAGAAAGGAGAAGGATTACAGTTATGATCGCGTCCGCCAAAAACGACAGTTGCACAAGATTAAAGGCACGATCCAGTTAGAACCCAGTTCCTTGCGCCACAAG